TTGAAAGAAGCAGACGATTATTATAAGTTGAAATCTGAAGATAAGCTTTTATCAGAAAGTGACCAATCGAAAATAAAAACGTATGTTTCGATCTACAATAGTGTCTTCCTACTCCACAACTTTCTTCTGGAATTACCTTTTACTTAAGACAGTCAACCTAACAATCCAAGACTGCAATGATAATCAGGCCTAATGTTTTATGTGGCACAAAGCCGTAGCAGCTAGAGGAGTTAATCAAATCGCGTAATTTCTTAGTAATCTTCCAAAAGACGTTGAACAAATTACGTTTTATTCAGACTCTTGTGCCGGACAAAAATAAAATTCTCATTTGATAGCAATGTATTTTTCCATATTAAAATCGCATCCAACACTTTAAGTAATATATCACAAGTTTTTTACTACCTGGACATACTCGCTTGGAATGTGACGGAGATCATGCACTTATTGAAAAGACAAGAAAACGTGCTGTGACACCAATTTACCATCCTTGAGACTGGTATCAGCTAGTTCGATACACTGGAAAAAAAAGCGCCCTTTCAAAATTTTTAAAATGGACAAAACAATTTTTTGATTCGCAAAATTCCTAAAAAACGAACAAATAAAAAAAACCCATTTTATTGGCGTGATGTCTGGGAAGCAAGAGTTGATAAAAATAATTTAGGAATGATGTATTTATATATAATCTAGCTCTGCGGACCTAGTAGGTCCATGGCTTGGTTGACTATCTTTCTCCACTTGTTTCTATCCTTTGCCTTTTCTTTCCACCTGACAATTCCCAGTTGTTGTAAGTCTCTCTCCACCTCAGTTTTCCATCTTGTTTTCGGTCTTTCTCTCCTCTTCTTACCGCCAATTGTTCGTTCCATTACCATTTTTGGTATCCTTGTCCCTGGCATTCTTTCAATATATCCCATCCATCTTAATCTTTGTGCTTTTATCACACTTACTATACTTGCCTCCTTATATAAGCTTTTTATTTCCTCATTTGTTCTTCGAAACCACCCTTCTTCTGTTCTTTTCCCTCCAATAATTTTCCTCAATATTTTCCTCTCCCATACTTCCAATCTTGTCTGTTCTGCTTTATTCAACGTCCACGTTTCACTGGCGTATGTAATTACTGGTCTTGTCACTGTCTTGTACAGCCTTATCTTTGTTTGTCTAGAAACGTTTTTGTTTCTCAGTATTCTCTGCAACCCCGCTACACTTTTGTTTCCTAACATTATTCTGGCTTCGATTTCTTCCTCTATTTTCGGTCTTCTTCTAAATAAGGTTCCTAAATATGTGAAATGTTCAACTTCCTCAAATCTGTACGTTTTCCCTCTGTTTGTATCTACTTTCAGAAACTTATATTTTTGATATTCTTCTTCCTACCATTCCATGTACTTAGTTTTTGTCTCATTAATATATAGTCCCCTTTTAACTGACTGCTCATCTATTCTCCTTATTACCTCTTTTAGTTCTGCTTTATTTCTTGCTAACACTACAAGATCATCCGCAAATGCCAGACACTAGATGTCTTTTATAGTAAATAAGGCATGATCTATTAATTTCTGCATCTCTTATGACTTTTTCTAGCACTAAACTAAATAATACTGCTGATAATGGATCCCCTTGTCATGATGTATTTTAAGACTGAAATAAATGAAAATTTTATATGTTTATCCTTTAGAAAGCGCGGCTCTCTAGCAAATTTAGTTCCTAAATTACAGTATGTTGGTCCAGTTTCAATTTCTGAAAAGAAGAAAGCTAACCTAATGCAACTAATGCCATATATCTCCAAAGTATTTTGGGATTTTTACAAATTCTTGCCAACCAATAATGATAAGTACACACAACCAGACTTACTGTCTTCTGACGATGAGGATTAATTTATTTAGTTTTCTATTCATTTTATCTTTTGTTTATTTAAACAAATGTGAATCAATAATAAATTTGTTGGTTTCTACAAATTTTTTAAATTTTTTTCAAAAGTAGGTATTGAAATGTGACTAATGAGATACGTACACTTTTAGTTAGTTCAAAACGAGATATGTTCCTTTTTTTTTTCAAAATGTTAAAAACATTGAAACATGTTATTTACATAAAAAGACGAAGTTTTTTTCATTTTATTCCGAAAATTCCAAATACATTAATAGTATATCTTATTTCAACTCAAACTCAACCATTTCCGAGAAAAAATTTATCAAAATCTTCAATTTGATGTACAAAAGTTCGATTAATTAAGAAATATTGACATAATTGCGTGCATAAAATACCATAAAATACAATGTATATCACTTTTTTTAACTCCTTTATACTTAATTCTAAAAAATAATTAGCGTTGTAATAAATTTAAAATTCGATAAAATTCATATCGAGCAATATGACAACGGCGCGGTGGATAACACGACGTACTAAGCTGTCCAGCAATACGCAGTTCAGTAGGTATCTGGAACTGCACCCTGTCTGAGTGTTTTTTGCGTACCACCATTTCCTTTTCTTGAGGTGTTTTCCAGTGAGTACGCGAAAATTGGATTCCAAGGTGTCGTGCGTGTATTGAAAATGGTGGTGGACATTTTAAGCATATGTTGTAGTTTGTTTTGTACTTGTGTGTTTAAAAATTACTGTATTTTGATTTTTTGTTAAGTACCTAAATTATTTTTAATACGTATGATTATTTCGACGACGTGAATCTTTGGGTACTTTAATTACATATTTTTCAAGTTCAAATTTTGGTTAAAATTTAAGTTCCTGTTTTAAGAGATTCATCATTACTAAACATCGACCTATTTAAGCACAACACGTACTACAAAATCGATACATTTTATTTATTTAAAAACTAGAAAACAAATGTCTTGAAATTTACTAAATGTTACGATCGAACTTCAGATAAGTTCGTTTGATCAATTAATTATCTCAGAACTATCAGTGTTTATAAAACTATTACTGCATAACACCATCCAATTGCTCGTTTTGAGTCACATATTTCCACCAAAAGACAGAATTAAATTTAAAAACACGCAGCATAGGAAATTTTCCATTGTAGAAAGTATAGAAGGAATGTAAAGGTAATTAACGATTTCATAATATTTGCCTCAATTATTTTTTTTTAACTTTGTATCTCATGCCAACTCGGACATAAAATATATTAATTTAAATTAATTTAATATTTGATAATCGCGTAATTTTGGATTTGATTTTAGAAACCTAGAGATATACAAGATGTAATTTTAAAAACCATAAATAGAGCTTATGAAAGAGGACTACTCAACCTTTCTTGTTAATAGATGGGCCTAGTCTACAGGACATTATAGATATTACTATGTTGTAATCACAGTCTGAGATATCAATTTGAGAATTATTTAGTACCTAGATATTTACTTTGGTCGTTACATTCTGTCTTTTATTAAATATACATAGATTGTTCTTTTAACTTTACATTAAAGGTAGGTAGATACTCAAAATGAAGTATGATAGTTGTTTTGCAAATATTAATGACATTAAAAAGTACATTTTTAATTTGGAAGTGATACATAACGTTATAAACTATTTTAAGTGCACGGTTAAAAATTGTGGTAGAGTATTTCATAGAAAAGATAGATTTAAAAGTGATGTAACCTTAAAACATCGAACAGGGAACAACTGCTTTGTTCCAAGTTTTTCAAAGAAAAAAGCTGATTTTAGAAATAACTCAGAAACTCGCAGTTCTATTCTTAACGAAATAAAAATTAACTACTAAAACTTTTATATCAAGTTTAAAGAAACCGACAGACATTTATTTCCAGTTTATACAGGGTGTCTCATAATTAGCTGCCAACCCTGAACAGGCCGATTCTATGATCAAAGCTAAGTAAAAAACTTCATATGAACATGGGTCCGGAAGGGCACAGGGACCCATTGAAGATGGAGGAATGGAAATCACTTTTTTGCAATATCTCTCAATCGCGTTGTGATAAATGAATGAAATTTGGTGTACACAGCTAAATGGACTAATCCATTTATTTCTACAAGGTCCATTGGGGTGGGTACGGGGGGGCCCTTGGTACTTTGCGTATGTAACTTTTTCATCTTTGACTTTTTTACAAATTGGACAGCAAATTCCGTTTTCCCGAACTGTTTTACGTTAAAAAGGTACTCTTGTTTCAAATCGTTATCTTTAACGGTTTCTGAGAAAATCGCTCTTGAATTAATCCCACTTTGGTCAATTTCATGGTAATTTAAACAAAAAATAATAATAATAATTTTATTTTCCTCTCTTTTCCATTTAAAGAATTAATTTTTATTTAATTTAATTTTTTATTATTATTTATTTATTAAAATTAGATTAAATTTAAACAAAAAAAATTTTTTTTTATCGGTGTTTTGTGGAAAATATTAAATAACGTGTAAATGGAAAACGTTGTGTCTTCCTCGTTAAATGAAGAATTCATTAATGTGAATACCAAATCAAATTTCTATTTTTGGCGTATAGTAATAAGAAGAACTACCTATTATTAAATCTACCAATTGTTTAGTCTGTTTTGCCACTTGGCTGGGGAACAAAAATTATGGAGAAAAAGATTAGGGTAAAGTGGTGTAATAAACACGCCCCGACTCTTAATACGCCCCGCCGCCATATTTTTGCGTTCATTCCTTGTCTGATTCAGTATCATGCAGAACACCGATCGTGTTACACGTGCCTTACTTCGTATGCGGTAATTAAAGACGCACGCTTGTATTTTTCCGAGAAAAATAATATTCAGTGGTAAGTACAGCCAAACATTTGTTTCATAGTTTGAGTAAATGTCCTCTTTTATGTTTCAAATCATTTTTCTTCGATTTTTTTCGATTTGGCCTTCATCTAGACAAATAAATAAATGCCTGTGAGCACGTTCCGCAGTTAAAATACCTAAATGTGGTGGGTGAAATATCCCAGTGGGGCGTATTGTACACCCGATTTCGAATACGTCCCATATGCTTGGTTGTAAAACGCCCCAGTCGAAGGTTATTTTACTGTTTCTCATTATTGCCCCTTTTTTTAGATAATGGGCAGAGTATATGTGAGAAAAACGACAAGAGCATCTTGGACCGAAGCTGCAATGTCAACAGCCATGGAAAAAGTGAAAAGTGGTCAGATGGGGATAAATGCAGCCAGTAGGGAGTATGGTATACCTTCAAGAACTTTGAGGAGATATCTAGCTACGAATAGCTCTACAATGTACTTAGGTAGAAGTCCAGCTCTAAGTAGAGAACACGAAAAAAGGTTGGTCCGGCATATACAGGCACTGGGAGAAGTGGGGTTCGCACCGAGTAGAAATGATGTGAAAAAAATGGCTTTTGCTTTCGCCAAAAAGTTAAGCATAAACTGTTTCTCTGAAAATGATGAGTCAGCAGGGAAAGTTTGGTTAAATGGATTCTTAAGAGGAAATCCCAGCTTATCTATCAGAAAATCTGAAGGCCTCTCACTAGCTCGGGCCCAAGGGATGAATAGGATAGAAGTTGGTGATTATTTTGATCTCTTGCATAAACTATTAATTGACAATGACTTATTAGATAAGCCGTCCAAAATATTCCATATGGACGAAACAGGCATTCAAGTGAACAATAAGGCAGAGCGTGTTGTTGCTACGAAAGGGAGTAAAGATGTCTATTCTCTCACAAGTGCAGAAAAGGGTGAAAATATCTCATTAATAGCATGCTGCAATGCTGAAGGGACATTTTTTCCGCCAGTCCTAATAATGAAATGTAAATACAGAAAACCAGATTTTTTAGATGGACTTCCTCCTGGCTCCGATGTTTATATGAACCAAAAGACCTCGTACATTAACAGCGATTTATTTATAAAGTGGTTCCGTGAATACTTCATTCCAAGAAAAGGTACCGGCAACGCGTTACTGATATTGGATGGTCATGCATCACATTGCAATGCGGTTGAACTTTTGGACTTGGCTTCTGAAAACAACATTGAACTTTTATGTCTGTCCAGCCATACAACGCAGGCATTGCAGCCTCTCGACAAATCTTTTTTTAAACCGCTCAAAAGCTATTTTGCGCAAGAGGCAAGAACATGGATGATTAATCACAAAGACAGAAAGTTGAACAGGCACAACGTTTCTGCACTGATAGGAAAGGCTTGGGTTAAATCAGTTTCCGTTAGTAATGCAGTATCCGGATTCAAGGCAACAGGTATTCATCCATATGACCCATCTGTTATCCCCGAACATTTTTTTAATATCTCTGATGCTGCATGTGCCAACGTACAGGTACCAAATCAAGAAGTTCTTCCTGAAGGAGTTGCCGCTGCCGAAATCCCCAATGATCTTGCAACAGATCCTCAGCAAGAAATATCCTGTGATTCTGCAGCAAATTCTCAGCCGGAACCGAAAGAATCTCCATCTAAAGAAGTTGTTCCCGAAGAAGTTGCCGCTGCTGAAATCCCCAATGATCCTGCAACAGATCCTCAGCAAGACTCAAAAGAAACTCCATCCAAACTTTTAAGGGAAATTGCTTCCGTGCCAACTATTCCAATTAATACCTCAAAAAGGAAGCAGTCAGCTATTATCCTAACATCTCCAGAAAATAGAGCCAAACGACAGATTCTGTCTGATAAAAAGTCAGCTAAACATTGCCCAAATGTTCCAGTGCTCCTAGCACATCCGGAGTAAAATCTAAAACCCTTTGCTTGAAAAAAGGTAAAAAGAGGAGGAAGCCATCTACTTCGTCTTCCGAAGAGGATTCAACAGTAATTTATGGATCTTCAGATGAGGCTTCAGACATTGATGACACTGACTGCACTGAGTTGGAGAACACTATTATTCTACCAAATCCAAAGATGATTGGATTCAGTGTATCGTTTGTGGAAAGTGGTTGCATGAAAGCTATACGATGTACCTCAACCTGTGCAACAGATGTGGACGTCAAAAGAAACGAATGGAAAACAAAAAATAGCTTGTTAGGATTAACTTTTCAGTACTTTTTACCCGGGGCGTATTGCAATCAAGTAGTGTGTAATACGCCCCGCCTTGATATTTCTAGATATCCATTTTTCTTTTAATGAGAAGGGGCTGTAGAAAAACTTCTTGTTGGTTTTCGATTGAATTCGCATCTTAGTTATTTCCTGTTCACTGAGTTTTTAATAAACGTTCCAAACAATTAGTTTAATACTTATTTCCGAAATGTGGGGCGTATTATACCACTTTACCCTATAGAAGGTGAAGATAAGTTAGCCAACGTCCAGTTGCAATTTTTTGTTAATTGCACTAGTAAAGAAGAGTTTGGTAAACGGTTAAGAGAGTTTGAAAACTTAACAAATCCATCATACGTTATCAGTAATACGGATATTGAGGATGGAGAACGGATTAAACTTAAAAGGAGACTAAGGTGAAATATTTAATTGATAGATAGGTTAGGTACATAATATATCGAATAGGTAGTTTATTAAAAGTATTTACTAAAATTTAAACAGTTTTATTTAAGGCTCTTAATAATATAATATTATAAAGCTTAAATTTAATTTTAGATGTCACCACTTTACTCGGTGCTCAAAAACCTACGAACCATCTTCAAAAAATAAAACGAGAAATACCAACTGCCCTTCAAAATTAACAGTAAAAATTCATGTTATTGGAAAAAATACAGGGGCATGCAAGAAAAATTTCAACTTTTACGAGAAGCACCCTGTGAAATCTTGTAACACACAATCAAAAGACAGGCAATGCAGATTCTTTGCGGTTTCGGAAAGTTAGTAATAATGTAAGAGAAGAGTTATTAGGTCTTTACGAGAATGGACATACAGCAGGAACAGCATTAGAAATGATTAAGTGCAATATCCAGCTAACTTGTGATGACTACATCACAGCTTTAGCAGACAGGAATAGATGTCCAAGTTATAAATACTGCTATGACTTATACATGAAAGAATTTAAGAAGAATTATGGCCCTATCAAATTTGACACAGATGCAAAAGTATTTTTAGAAAATAAACTTACGCTATACAATGCTAAACAAAAAGACCAATGTGCAAAAATGATTTTAATGGGAAAAGAAAATGATGATTATGTTATTGGGTAANACGGTCATCAACCTCTACCGCGCAGACGTCAGCCGATGTGACGTAGCCGGCTGAAAGCTATTCCGATCCTGCTCCAGTCGCCATCTTGAATTGTGGAGCAGAATCGGCTCAGCTATTCTACTGACAGTTGACCCAACTTTTACCACCACTCTATGGCAATGGCAAGGTTGCCAGATTTCATCCATAATTTTACAAGTTCTTAATGAATAGACACTTTTACCCAAATAAAAAGTTAATTGCCGTGCATTAAACACGAAAAATATATGCAAGCTAATTTGTGTTATATAAATTTCACTGATATATATTATATTTAGTTCGCCCAAATTAGTTTATGTAAAGTTGGTACTACAACGAAACTACCGTGTATAAGCATAGGCTTCCCTCCTGCACCACCTGCCCCGCAAGAGATGTATCGAACCTCCTTAAATTGTTATTGCTGCCCAGCAAGAACCTCGAAATGTTCAAATACATTACCGTTACCGTCTATGCACAAGTGTACACGTTGGATAGATGAGCGTTGGATGCGATGGAATAAACCAGGGTTGTTACGTATTTCTTCAGCGGCATCTTCGATACGATTCCGCAACTGCTCTACATTCTCTACCTCGGAGTGACACACGACAGATTTCATATAACCCCATATACAAAAGTCCATAGGATTATGGGCCCTCATCTCCCTATCCACCGATTGGGACATTGATCGTCTAAAAATCCACGGACATCGCGAGCAAAATAGGCCGGAGCTCCGTCGTGCATATGCCACATATCCCGTAGCATCTGAAGGGGAAGGTTTTCAAACAATTTTACTAAAAATTGAAAGTAACGCGGCCCATTCAGATGTTCAGGTAGAAAATGCGGCCCAATTAAACGATCGCCATATACTCCTGCCCATATATTGACACTGAATCTCCTCTCAAAGCTAAACCGACGAGTAGTGTGCGGGTTTTCATCTGACCAAATGTGACTATTATGGCTGCAAAGAAATTAGCTGTTTCACTTTAAATAAAATTTAATATTGAAGTTACAAAACTCCAAGAGTTCAAGTAATTTAAATTTCATTTCATAACCATTTTAATTTCATTACAGAAATAATGACATAAAAAACCAACACTCACTAGATAAATTATAAAGAGAGGGTGAAATGTATGTAGTATTTAAATATTGACTGTAAGTAATAGAAGATAAAAAAACAATCGGACGGAGACAAATAAACAACTCGGTACGTGTTTCCGATCTAGGCTAACCTGTATCTAGGTCAATAAACTTATATCTGACCCACTTTTAATTTGCACGTGTACTACAGTCTAGGAGGCAGATAGGGTGCCGTGGCCAACCAGAGTGCCACGGATACACACAACTTATTTGTAGTGTTTTGAGCTCCTGAATCCAAAAAACTTGGTCGCAAAGCCTGAAAGTGGTCAGTTTAATTGTTATCAACAAATTAAATGTTTAAATGGCTGTAAAAAGTTTTTATTTTTATAGCTAGTAAACGGAACCCTATCTGGCTCCTACACTAATACGAACTGTAGTAGGATCATATTCCATGCAAAGTAGAGCAAAAAGTTGTCGGTCTTGTATCAAAGGAAAATTGAATGTAATGAATAGGGATGATAATTTTCCAATGTACGGTTATTACAATTTATCATTTTTAATATTATTAACATTTTAACGTTTTATAATTTATTATGTTAAATAATACACAATAATAATAATATACATTTCAATTTATTATTCAATATGCAGTTTCGTATAACCAAAGTTTACATAATAAATGTAAATTTTAGTGTAAATATAAACTTTGGTGTAACCTAGGTAGGTACTTATTGTTTTTAAGAAAGTAATATGTTTTTTACCTGTTTAAAATGCCAGTACGAGTAAAACAGCGTTCATCCGTCCAGCGCACTTTGTTTTAAAAATAAAAATAAATTTAGCGTCTGCTGCACTTCGATTTAGGAACCAACTAAAAAATTCAAGACGATTGGGGAAATCAGCTGGTTCTAAAGCTTGAACTTTTTGAAAATGGTACGGGTTGAGTGAATTCTCGCGCAATATTCTCCAAACTTTGGTTTGTGATATCTCCAGTCGCCTTGAAATTGTTCTTGTGGAAATAGTAGGCTGCTCCTCGACTAATTTAAAACAGCCTCTGTCACGTTTAAGTTATTTTGTCGATGTCCTGCACGTTCGCTGCGCGGTAAGCTATGATAGATGCAGTTGGAAAAATGCGGGAGATATGGAAGGTGGTAGATTTGAATAAACGCTTTAAATTGTTAATGGTTTTGTAACCGTGTGTAGTGTATTTTATATATTCGGGTATTTAGTAGTGTGCCGACTTTTTTTATTTGATAAAATACGGTGTGCCTACAAATAGGTAACTACCTCTGCTTTATTTATTTTCTTTTAACGAATGTTGACTTCGAGAAGTCAGGCTTGTTAAAACATTCTGCACTAAGTTAATACAATTGTTAAATTTATTTATAATAAAATGCAGCATGCTCCTTTATTTACTTAAATAAGTTTAACGCGGAACCCACAGTAAATGTGAACCACACATTATGATGTGAACTTGGCAGAGCTGTTCGCTTCAGCCGACAACTGTTTGTGGCCCCGGTTCTTCGGATTGCGAGTCAAGCACACAACCCACTAGACCACAACCCTCATGTACTGGAGACGCGATATATTAGGTAGGTATGCGATGCTGGAAACCGCCTGCGGTCAGCGGGGTGCCGGCGTACGAGGGGGAGCGGGCGGCCTGTGTCGATCGGCGATGCAAGCAGCGGGCGGCGGGGGACGGCGGCGGCGACGGCCTCTTGGTACCAATCTTTTTTTTGAAGGTAGAAAATTTAAGAAACGAGCGCTATGTGAGAGTGACGTAATCGTCTGGAAATTTTTTGTTGCACAGCTGTACGTATGACTCATATCAGATAAAAAGATAAAATGACCAAAGCGGAAGCTTCAGATAAAAACCGACTAAAATTACTCATGGCAAAATATTATTTTAAAAAACAAAATCTCATGTCGAATAAAATATCAACACATGAGTGGTTTAGTTTTAGCGTTCGCTTTGAGAGATTAAAAATTGATTGTACAGTTTTATTTTTAAATGCAAACAATCAAATTTGACCCGGCTTCATATGAAAACGTGACTATAGTATATAAACAAAGTTAATCATATCGTTATTATCGCATAAATAATATTACACCGACAATCGAATATTTACGTATAAAATATGAATTGTGAAAGGTCAGTTTATGCTATTATTAGATATGCATATACAGGGTGTCCACCGAAAGGTGTTTTAAATGGATTTTATATTTGAGTTATTAGAAAAAATAATAGCAGCTATTTTTTTATTGTAAAGATTGACATGACTCATGTTTCTTGGAAAACAATGATGACGTCATCACCATTTCCGGTTCAGGTGTCTGTTTAATTTAAACAAATACATGATTTATTACCCTTTTCTTAGAATTTTGTCTGGTTTTTAAATAAGTGTCAACCCGCAGCTGGAGGACAGTAACTTGTAGAGAAATATATATATGCATTTCAGCGCTATTAAATATATTTATTTTTTAGATCACCCTGTATTTATTCAA